CCAGGGGCAGCGCTCGGGGCGACTTGGCCAGCATGAAACTGAGGCTTCTAGGAGTCTTTTTGAGCTGAAATTCTCTAGATTATTCTTCCCTACTTGGAGTGCAAGTCAAGGCTCTCAAGATCCCCTAAATATTTCGTTTCCTTATTGCTTTATGATATCTATATTGTTTAGGTTACTTAGTATTTTATTGCTTTAATAGAGTTATAGTTAGAATAGGACTAGATCTAGTTGGTGCCTATATAAAGGCCCTTCCCCCATGCTATTTTTCATCATCCAAGAATTATTATAAAATCCAGAACTTTTTGTACAAACACTTTGCCTTAATTTTTCACCAAATACTATTGCAATTTTATTCTTTTCAAGAGGCGCGGTTTTGGCTCGAGAAGCACCTATAGGCGATTCAAGGCGCGGGCAAGCGGCTTATCAGCAGTCGAGACACGCGATCTACATCACCGAGCACCGCCGCCGAGCCGCCCCGCGCACGCCTTTGACCCCATTTCCCTTGTGCTTTTTAGTGCAAGGACCACAAGAACAGTACTTGATGGTTGTACCTTCTCATTTTAATGTGTTTTGAATGTTTTCATCTTGGTTTAAATCGAATTTGTCTTGGAATGTTTGAATAATGTGAAATTATGCATGTTTGAAGTGATATTAGTGTGTTCTTGATGAACCCTGGTTAAAATCATGTTAGGGCTGTGGAATATGGAACATTTATGAGTCCTTGGCCTTATAGTTAAGGCCTTGGTCGAAATTTATGATTGTGGGGTCAGTTATGCATTTTTGAATCGGGTCATGCTGCTGAATTTTACAAAAATCATCATAAATTACATGATTGCACGAATGTTGTGAAACTTGACCGGTATAATCCTCTGTTGGCATGTTATGTGGTGTAAAATTTGCAGGTCGAAATGATGTTTGTATCCATGTCAAATATCAATTTTAAGTTCTGGGAAGAAACTTCGAAAAATCATTAAAAATCGAGTTCATGGTATTTTGATGTGATTTTTGGTGAGTATTATTATTCTGGTATTATATGTGTTGTATCCAAAGTTTATTGAAAAACACTAAGGATTTCCCGGAGAACTTGTAAATTCAGATTTGTGCTGCTTTTTCGTAAAAATTGGTTGGTCAGGTTAAACTAAAGTCTTGGGGTTGACACTTGGTGAAAACGTGTGTTTCTGGGTCTATATTATGTGTAAAAATTTTAAGTTATTTAGTCAAGTGCATTTTAAAAACGGTCGGCTCTATTTGAATTGCTGCTTGTCTGTCCGGGGCCTGCACCCTGCCTGTGCACTGCCAGCGCGCCCAGTGCGTGCCAGCATGCACCAGCTGTGAAGCTTCCCAGCGCCCCAGCGCACTGCACCGCGCCCCAGCGCACAACAGCACCCCAATGCACTGCACCGCACCCCTGCGCGCACGACAGCGCCCCAGCGCCTGCG